TTTTTTTAATATCGGCCCCATGTCTCAACCATGCACCTCGCCACAAATAGCATAGAGGAGCTATGATCACGTCGTACACTAGGGCTTTTTTACCATATTTCTGGACGTAATTGCGGTCAGATGCATCAACGTCTGGCCTTAAATGCAGTCAGATACATTTATGCATCAACGTCTGGCCTTAAATGCAGTCAGATACATTTAAGATAGTGCTAGTGTGAGAACGCCCTCACACACAGATAAATTATCCCCCCTCGCCCTTAAAAAAAAAAAAAAAGGTAAAAAAACAAAAGGATAACTTCTACCACTTCGTTTACTTTCTCTAACCGCGCTATCTTAGCCTTTTTTTTTCTTTTTTTTTTCCCCTTTTCGCCTTTTTTATTTCCAGATCGCCTGTCGCAACCTGCTTGGGTGCAAACGGCGGCAGTCAAAAAGAAAAACTTTAAGGCGGAAAAAAAAAAAAAAAAGACGGAAAAAAAAAATCGCGGTCGAGACAGGTCCGTCGGGACATATGTTAAAATTGGAGCGATACAGATTTTGAGGAGATTAATTAGGATGGGCCCTGCGCATTAAAGGATGAGGCCCACAAATTAAGAAACGGCCGAATGTTGTTGTTATTTATTTATTTTTTAACTTTAATGAAAAAACGCGCCCGTTCAGAAATAACCGTCCACTTGGAAACTTTCAGCGTACAGGTCAAAAGAAAAAAAAGAAAAAAAGAAAAAAAGAAGGGAAAAAAAAGAAAAAAAGCCCAAAAAACGAACATTGTATAAACTTTTATAATCTTTGCTTGCCAGTGAGGATGAGGAGCAACCAGACTGATGGCCCCCAGAATAGAAGTGGACGAAATTGCATTCATCATTCACACTAGGACTCTGTGCACTTCACTGTGGACGAAATTGCTATCAGGTACATTCACGCGGGGTTGGAAAAGCAGTTGTATACATGCAGGGAGGCCGTACTGTGACTATGTCCTCATCCGTTCAAGGTACTTGTCTCAGAGATTTGTGCGACATATTTTTGCTCTTACAGCACGGCATATGTAGAAGGGTTTGGAGCTCTCTCTCTCTCTCTCTCTCTCTCTCTCTCTCTCTCTCTCTCTCTCTCTCTCTCTCTCGCACATACATACACACACACACACAAACACACACAAACACGCACTAGCACACACAAACACACACAAACACACACACACACACA